GTGTGTAATGATGTCTACAATGACAGCTGATCAATGGAAGTTCATGATCACATTAAATAACTGGTGACCAAATAAAGCAAACTTTGTATCAGTTAAATTAACAGCAAACACATTTGTGAAGTTTACTTTAAAACAACACAGCAGATATTCTTCGATTGTATCCAAAAATATAAATTGTAGAAAAAATTATAGCGGAGAAACGTTCAAAAAATTACAAGGCATTTAAAAATTATATTTGCCAAAAAAACTGTCCAAAAACAGTGTCCGAAAACATGCAGTAAATACAGTACTAGTTTTTGGACACACACAACAAACATGATAAAAATTTGAGAAATATTCTCAAATGTTCTTTTGAAAAAGGAATCTGGCTAAATGAGGAAAAACAAAAAGTAGGCATCACATAATTACAGTACTTCGGGCACATTCTGTCAGCAGAAGGTCTCAAACCTGAGAATGCCAAAGTAGCAGTGGTCAGAGAAATGGAACCCCCTCATAACCATGTGGAGTTAGAAACCATTTTTGGCATGGTTAACTACTTGTCCAAATTTTACCCAAATTTGGCAGCGGTTACCATTCTATTAAGACAGCTGTTAGCGAAAGAGGTAGAGTTTTCATGGGACTCTCCCAAATAGATTTATTTCAAAAGGTCAATGACATAATTACTATAAGCCTGGGACCTGTTCTGTCCTTTTTTGGCCCCAAGAAAACACTGACTTTGCAAATTGACACATCAAAATATGGACTTGGAGCCACCCTAATGGAGGATGATAAGTCCATGGATTATGCATCAAAATCCATGACGTCTGAAATTAATTATGCTCAGATAGAGAAAGAAATATCCACTATACTGTTCGGATGCAAATGGTTCCATCAATATGTATACGCGAGAAAGGTACAACTTCAACTGACCATGTTCCACTTATCTCTATAATGAAAAAGCACCTCTATGCAGCCCCACTACAACTACAACACATGCTTTTGCAACCACAGCATTATGACCAGAGTTAAAAACATTACCAAGGTAAGTTCTTATCCAAGAACACCATATCCCTTATCTGAAGGGTATAGATATGCAGGTGCATATGGTGTTATCACCATTACCTGTATTTGATCTAAGAGGGAAGAAATTCAATCTCTCACTGAACAAGACCCCCAGGTCATACTGAAATAAGTCATATATGAAGACTGACCTAAAATGAGGTCAAGCTGTCAATCAGAGATAATCAATATTGGAATCATAAAGATACACTTTCTGTTGTAGAAGGGTTAATCTTGAAAGGTCACAAGCCCTCATGTAGAAAATTCTATAAACTGTACATTCAGGACATTTAGATATTGAAAAGTAAGAGCCAGAGATGTTTTGCTTTGGCCAAGAATCTCAGCTGACATTTCCGATTTTGTGTCAAAATGCTCTATGTTCTTAGAGTGCAGAAGTTCTAACCTAAAGGAATCTTTCATTACCCATGGTGACCCTGAAAACCCATGGCAAAAAGTCACCACAGACATATTTAATAATGAGTACATTGTTGTAGTAGGTTATTCATTGGCTCAAAAAGTTGCACTGTTATCAATCACATGAAAAGTATTTTCACACACTTTGGAATACCAGAGGTCATTGTCATCGACAATCAAACATGCTATTCTTCCAGTGAATTTGCAAGCTTCGTGAAAAAATGGGACTTTAAACACCTTACATCAAGTCCCACATACCCTCAGTCAAATGGCATAGCAGAAAAAACAGTTCAAACTGTAAAGAGAATTCTCACAAAAACAAATACAGACAGCATAAAAAAACACTTATAGGCATATTAGACTATGGAGCCACTGCTCTTTATATTGTAGAGATAGCTCAGATCTATTCTCCCAACAACCCGCAAAAAATTAATTCCCAAAACACAGGTGAGGTTAAAAAGAAAATTACACTTTGTAAGAAGAAAACAAAGAACTATTATGATAAAAGTGCAAAACCTAAAATCACTTAAAGAAGGGGAATCAGCCAGAGTTCAATTGAAAGATAAAAACTGGGAACCTGCCGTGGTAATAAGAAAACACAGTAAAAGGTCAAACACAGTTCATACCAATGATGGTACCATTTATCATCACAACAGACATCAGCTCGTGAAAACTAATGAAACACCCCCCCTACAATGTAATATAAATGTGCCCTTTTCTCAGATTGAAAACACACTTTGTACATCTATATCACTACCTGCAAATGCCAGTAAATCAATTTCAGAATCAATGAAATCTCAATGTTTCAGCCAAAGTATGCCTGAGCATGATGCAACAATCTCACAAGATCGTCAGCAAAGCGGATGCTACACACGCTCAGGAAGGCTAGTAAAACCAAAGATAACAGTGTCAGTTCCTAAAACCTGGACATATCCTGGATAAGAAACAGTTGTGAAATCCTGCTCACAGATAAGAGACTTAGCTAATAGAATAATCATTAGTGTAGTACAATGTATGGTTTTGTTGATAAACACAGTGATTCAAGAGAAGGGCCAGGAGTGTACATTAAATATCAAGCAAGTAACATGATTTTTAACAAATTGTACAATGCATTCTCAATCTGTCTTATGAGATTTATTTGTTGATCATTGTAATCAGTGCTATCAAAAACACACTTGATTTTGATATATTAATTATAATGGCTCATAATACATTTAGCCAGATTTTTTTAAGAGATGTAACATTATACATGTGTAACTGACCAAGCAGCACTCTCTGTGCATGAGTCATAGTTTGAACATGCATCTCAATTTATGTTTTAATACAATAACACAACACCAATAAAACTATCCCATTATTTATGGGGTCAATTATTAAACTGGAGGGGGATAGTCTTACAATGTAAGACATAGCACATGTTTTTGTTTTGGTGCTATGTCTTACTACCCTAATAAAAGCCTTACATAGCCATCTCTGATGTTATTGACATTGGAATGCGTAGTCAAAATTTCAGGAATATCTCACACATTTGGCAGCCTATATCAACACTCATCCACTAATTTATGTGTAATTAATATACTTATTGTGCTGTCTTTATCATGGCAGAATCAAAATATGACACTAGCAAATGGATGCATTTTCATGTTCCGTTTGAATTTGTTGCATTGCGACAGTAGTCGAGGTATGCCGAAGTATGTTCCAGTAAGTTTATGTGGGAGATATGCTTCTTGAATGAAATGAAATGTTGCTTATAGTTCTATTAGGCATAATATATTTTTTATTTGTTTCTTTAAAGAATAATATTTCAACCTAACCCGATTTCGGCATTCCTGGCTTTCATCACTTTCCAGGAAATTGAAATGTAGGCCAACAAAATTTGAAAACATGGCCATTTCATTGGTGAGAATTTAAATTTATTGGAAAAAAGACATCAGGGTAAGTAAACTCTGACAAAAACATTCTAATTTTACTTTGTAGAAAGGTGTCATTATTGGTTGTCAGTTATGTGATATTCTTGAAAATTTGACATTTGTTACACTGTTAATTGACATCAAAACATGCTTTACAGTGCCATTAGTCATGCAGTAACACCCATTACCCATCCAGAACAAAAATATCTGGCTTATGGGGCTTACGTTGTAGGACTGTGGGGTGATCAAATGTTCAGCTCTCCAAAAATTTCAAAATATTCTTGTTCGGATTTATAGCACAATAAACAATTCAAATTAAATTAGCTAAAACTTAATAAAATTATACTGTAGTAATAGAAAAAAATATCCCGGATCGAAGAAAGACCAAATATGCCAATACCCCCACCCCCACCCGAAATTAAATGGTCTGGGAATGGTCGGAGGAAATTATTTCCCCCCTAAATTTTGGGTTCTATGAAAATGGCCAAGTCAATCACATTTACTTAACTTTTTAACGTGATCATAAACATGCTCTCACAATTTTAGAACACAACAATCAATTAAACAATAATAATTACTAAAAAAAAATTATAAAACCTAAATATTTGTGGTCAGAACACCCGTTTATCACTTCCCTGTTTTCGGGTCAGTAAATTTAGAGAAGATTTGCAACATCAAAATTGCAATTATGTGCAATAACAACCGGCAAATTGGAAAGAAAAGAAATATAATTTTGCAGAATTGTACGTTTTTAGGGAATATATGGACAAAAATTACCAAAAAAAGAGTGTTTCTTCACCCTCACAACATACAGGAAATGAATTCGATCGCCATCATATGCAACCGGTGTTGAGGTAACATTTTCTAGTGTAAACATTCATCCTAGATGTCCCCCCCCACACACACACACATGGACCCGAAAGCACTCAAAACTTATATTTTTATCACAAAGTAGAGAATTAGTTTTTTCCACTGATATAAAAATTTAATGTCTTTGTTATTCAAACACGTCATTTCCACTACTTAGAAAACATTCTTTGCATATAATTCAATTTTATTTCATTTATAAAATTTATTTTCTTTCGAGGATAATAAACTGGCCATTTATAAAACAATTTTTTCGCTATTCTGATAAGTTTTACAAAAGAACAAAAAATTTCGTCATAACGAAAATGCTTTTCAAACATATCAATTATAAATTCTGCATTTTGAAAGGGTTTTTTTATTGTTTTTATGGTTGGGGGTGGGGGAGTTGCTATGATGATATCATGAAACTTTTAATTCAAAAGTCAACAAACAGCCGATATTGTACGGACAATCTGGAAAAACAAAGTCAGACTTCTGCTAGTATTTCAAATGCTGCTAATAAAAAACGTATGGAATTCCCAGGAAGAAGAAGAAGAAGAAGAAGAAGAAGAAGAAGAAGAAGAAGAAGAAGAAGAAGAAGAAGAAGAAGAAGAAGAAGAAGAAGATGATGATGATGATGATGATGATGATGATGATGATGATGATGATGACGATGATGATGTCATGATGTCATGATGTACAATGTACAATACAGGCATATTTAGACTGTAAGACTTACTTGGTGTTATTGAACTCCATCTATCCGATCTGCCTCTCTCATTTACTTTAACCGCTCTGATGGCCTAGTGATTAGAGCGTCCGCCTCGTATGCGGGAATTCGTGGGTTCGATCCCAGGTTGATTCATATCAAAGACTTACAAAAATGGTACTAACAGCTGCCTCTCTTGACACTCAGCATTAAGAAGTTAGTGTTAAGACTGCAGACATTGTAGCGATATGACTGAAACATTGTTAAAACTACGTTAAAAACCATAATCACATCACATCATTAACTTTCGATATGTAGTCCTGTACATATGAGGATGGTATCGACTATTGGAATTCAGTTGAAAGGTCTTCTACTCTAACATTTTTACGGGTTAAAATTCGATTTTGAGGATATATAGTTTTAAAACCGACAGATGGATCTTTTTTCGTGGTTCTCTCTCTCTCTCTCTCTCTCTCTCTCTCTCTCTCTCTCTCTCTCTCTCTCTCTCTCTCTCTCTCTCTCTCTCTCTCTCTCTCTCTCTCTCTCTCTCTCTCTCTCTCTCTCTCTCCACACAGTCAGGCCATCTTCACTGTAGCTCATAGCATTTCTTGAGTATGAAAATCATCACTCACATCAGTAATACCCTAAAAATAAATAAACTTGAAAGCTTATTTATGACTTCAGCTTTCCCTTTGTTAGCAGATGTAAATTTCTGTACTTTTTTCCAAGACAGTAATGTTTCCTCTCACTTTTCTCGAAGATTCAACATTCTTATAAGAAACTTGATGATATTATTAGATCTGCATTAGGTAAATACATTAGGCACCTTTAAAAAAATTAAAAATTTTCTTTCGAAAAATTGCATCAGCAAAATGCACGTTACTTAACATCTTTAAATATAAATCTAAAATGTGGTTAGGATAAAGTTTTGCTGATTCCGAGAAACCCTAACGTACCTAGACTGGTTTTCTGTCTCACAAAATAAATGCTTGTAGAGAGACGCTTTATTTTAATATTGATTTGCTGGTTAGCAGCATGGAGGGTGAACAGACCACTTTTTAAAGCAGTCCGTTTTTGAAAATAAAACTTCATACAAAAATGAAAACACGAGCTTCAATAACGCTAAACAGAGACCTCTAACAGGATTGCATTAAACCGAGGTCTCTACAGGGTTAGCACATTTTCGTTATTTTTTCTTTTGACGTTTATATTTTCATATTTTATGGGTCCTCGTTTACAGACCCGGGACATTCACTCTTGGTCGTCACTCTCCCTGGTGCTGTAGCGCAACGGTCAGGTGGCAGGTCTCTCAACCAAAAATGTTATCGAAATCTATGCTATATCGCGATCGAGGATCATGTATATTTATCGCGATAAATCCACGAGGAATCGCTTGCGCTTTTGAGAAGCAGTTTTTAAATTTAATTATATCCATGTCTCCTGAAAACCAAGTCTGGTGATTGTTTCTTAGTGTGTAGATATCAACACCATTAAATACAACCAGAAGATTACAGATATCTCTGATTACTTTTGGTATTTGCACATATCGCTGAGTAGCATATATAATATCGGTGGGGTTGGGGGGTGGGTGTCTGCCTCGGGAAAATATCCAAGTTTGATTCGATTCTTTGTCTAGCGTCACATCATCGTACACTACGAGATTGTTGATGCCACAGTTGAGATCATCTACCAAAGGTATATCGTTGATCTCGGTGATAAAATCAATAATTTTATTGCCGTCCTCGTCCAAAAACTTGCATTTTCATTAAAATTTGTAAACACGTAGTAGCATCGCTTATCATCTACAGATAGTACCACTAAATACAACTTATTCGACTTGAGCCATCTTATTATCAGGTTAAACAACAATTGTGTCTTACTGACCCAGATGAATAATTCCTCTGATAGAATTTGCCAGCCAGCGCTGGATGATGCTTGATATGCCCTTGCTTTTGTGTCGCTGAGAAATCAATGGCATTCTTGTTGTAGAAATATATAATAATTCTATGGATTTTGTATTTGATGCAGATCACCCACCTCTACCATCGGTGTGACCTCTGAACTAAAAATAATAACGAGGAGGAATAAAAATCGTACACTTACAGGCAAGTCTGTTAAATGTAGTACAAAAAATACAAATTTGTCTCTCATGAAACACGTGGAGATATCTCTGCTTCAATGAAAAATTACACGGGGGTCCATGGTCTATGTATCCTGGCGAGAAGTATTCTTCATGGATATAATTATTGTGGTCCTGAACCCGTCGTCATGTCTGACTTGACGAATTAAGTCTGTAAAAAAAAATCTCTTAGAGAATCGCTTGCTAAAAGGTAAACTGGTGCTAAGGGCTAGGGGCTAGGGGCTAGCAAACTTGCTGATGTAGCACTTGTTGCACGTTCTGTTGCTGCAGATTGGTTGGCACAAGAGGCAACATGGCAAATCTAACACCACCTAAAAATAATTTAGTGCGCACATTTTGATGTCTGCACTCCCAACGAGGTTCATCAGGCAGATATTTTGTTTTTACCACATGATACTCTTAAAACTGGTAGACTCCAATCGCGCACATACAAATACGCGTTGACTAACGTTGACGTTGCAAGTAGATATAATGAAGCAGAACCACTATCAACAAAGACAGCAACTGAAGTTTCATCTGCGTTTGAACAAATTTATCAAGATGGTGGCATGCGATCGCCACAGTTGACGCAGGTTGATCCTTGCAAAGAATTTCTTGGTGCAGTAACATCGCTGATGCAACAACATAACGTCAAAATCAGACTAAGTCACATGCAATTCAGCGCGATCAGACAATCGTTGAGCGATTTAATCGAATACTTGCTGAGCGATTGTTTGGATACCAATATGTGCAAAGTTTAGGCGGACAAGATCTCGTGAATGGGTTGCAAGATTACCTAGTGTGATAGTAGCGTTAAACAATGAAATTACACGTGGAATTTATATGACCCCCATCAATGCAATCTCGAAGAAACGCATACAAGTTAAGCGACATTACTCTTTCAGAACACATCCAGTACTAGGTAATCTGACTGTCAGGTATTTATATGAGCCGGGGAAGCTTGAGGGAGGGTAAAAAAAGAGCGACTGACCTAGTCTGGAGTGTAACCACTCATAACATTTCCAGTGTGGTAAGTTCCATGGGTAGATCTGCAATATACAAACAAGATTCAACTTCTCCTCAACGTGGATTTGTACGTGAACAATTACAAGTACTTCCTGACGATACACAAATATCACCGCCTTAGCTTTTATGAAGGGTTATTCGTTAGAATAAGGCACTGGCACCCCGACATCGATGACACTCAAGACAGGTCAGCGTCTCATTTTTGCATTTGTGGCCGAAACATCTATTAATTCTATCCGCGGAAAAAATGTCGTGGATCGTTAGGAGAACACTGCCACAACAATAATGTACTACAGCAAACACAGTGATTGTTTTTCATGTTGTTTCAGCGTCATGATAAATTCAATATCAAGATCAAAGTCGCGTTTATTTTGTCACATCGCTATTAACCACCTAATTTTTCCTGACTATTTTTTAACAACGATGTGTTAATTTCTTGAGTCTAATTATTATTCACTGCGCAGTTTACGTTAACCCTCCGTAGCTTAGACATTATTCTGATTCGAGATACTGCCAGATAAACTAAATTTGACCATTCGATATGGTATTCGACAATCCAAGTATTAGTATCCGAAATTGTTAATCACTTTGATGAATGTATAGTTATAACATATCCTAGAGTCCATGTAGATTTATTCATCGTTAACGCGCTCTCAACAACATTCATAGGATCAACAATATCCACAGGATCAACAGCATCCACAGGATCAACAACATTCATAGGATCAACAACATTCACAGGATCAACAACATCCACAGGATCAACAAACATCCACATGATCAACAACATCCACAGGATCAACAGCATCCACAGGATCAACAGCATCCACAGGATCAACAACATCCATAGCATCAACAGCATCCACAGGATCAACAACATCCACAGGATCAACAACATCCATAGGATCAACAGCATCCACAGGATCAAGAACACTCTCATTAAGAACGAGCTTTTGTTTCTTCCTTGGAATTATCAAGTGTCCGGAATTTCAACATCACTGTTTTGTTTACGTGAATCTGCTGAGCGATAACACAATGGCACAGGTAGATCTGACAATTTTTCCACAAATTTCTAAACTCTTCGTTTGTTGTTTCTGGAATTACCTTACGCATTATCTCACACTGAATTTTATCTGGCTGCAGTCCGATTAACTTCTTGAACTCCATCAGCGTCGAATCAATTACCCGGAAATCATCAAATATCTCCTCATTAATAATCTACAAATTCTTTCAGCCGGCTATGCTGAGATGAGCCAACAAAAGGTGGTGGTTGACCATGATCACCACAAATCATAACATCAGTATTCAGAGTCAATAACCAATCAAGAAACAATTTCAATACGTCAACGGACACCGTGCATATTTCATCCCAGATAATGATCTTAGGAATATATTTCTCACTTATTCGTTATTTGTCCACGCATCTGCCTTCCATAGAAAAAAAACTGTGATAAATATGAGATTTAATCCCTCTTCCTTGCATCTGTCTGGCGAGTCTGTAAGTTGGAGTTAGTACAATCATATTAAGATTCACTGAACCATAGGTCAGGAATAATTCAATCGAGCATGGTTGTTTATTTTGTTTTGTTTGTTTGTTTGGGGGTTTTTTTTGTTGTTTTTTTTTGGGGGGGGTGGTTTTTTTTACTAGAACCGCCAGGCTTGTTAAGATAAAGAGTTTTATGTCTGGCCACAAGATCATATACTAATGATGCTGATGATGGTTGTGACAGTCGACTATTTTTATAATTAATCTCCCCATATGTATAATCAGCAGATTCTGAATAAATGAGTATGTTTTTTTTTACACTCTCCATTCGCCCAATGAAGCATCAGATCCGATCCGTAATTCATTTAATAATTCTGCGTATTTTTATTGATATGAAATGAATCTGTGGCAATTCTTACCGCGGTATCAGGAAATCTGTTTAACATCGATAATAAGTTTATCAAAGCATACCCTAACATCGAAGATATATGATTAAACTGTGATGAGTCACCATCAATGTAACTC